CGGCCAATGTACCTGTCTAAAGAAGTAGTGCCATGTGTCCCTACAACCGGTGAGGGAAACTGAGGTATAGCCTCACTCCTCCCTGAGGGGAATTTCCTCTGGGGCATATTGGAGGATATTGGCATATTGGAAGAACCAGGAGAGGAGAGCATCTGCATGCCCACAGGGAACACTGGGAATGTCAAGAGCCTCCCAGTGACTTTTGTTCTCAAAGGTCATCTCTGGCAAGTGCCTGGGGAAGGGGAGGAGGCCATCCTTCTATGTCCATCGCACTCATACCTTGTAACCAGGGCTTCTGCTGAGAACTGGGAAGTCTGGAACTTCTGCCCTCACCTATGTGCATACTGCATTCTCCAAATCAGAGCGCAAGAGTGAGTTCATAGACTTAGCACTGGCAGGATATTAAAGCTGGAGACCTGGGAATCTGATACAGAAGGATGGAAGAAGCTGAAGTTTGAAAGAGATAGATATGGGGGGAGAGGGGCATTAAGGTCCACAAATATAACATACAGATCAGAAAGTAGTCTACCACATATGTACCTTCTCTGACTGTAAATTCTTGGTCACTCTAAAGATCTCCAACTTTATTTACACCTTTTCCCTTTACTGTCCCCAACTGCCAGCCTTTTTCCCAGTCACCAGGATATAACTAGTCTTTCTAGTCAAAAGGGGTGGCCTGAAAGAGTATGTAATCTGAGGAGCCATGGAGAAGATTGACTGTTACAACAAATATACAAATATCCCATGCTTAATATGCAAATATTCCAAAGAGAACACACAGAATCCAGTAGTATTTCAAAACGTGCATAAACATCAAGAGAAAAAAAATATTTTGCAACTATAGTAGTGATGAATAAATGTTAACTAGAGTTATTGTGCTGATCATTTCCCAATATAAACAAATATTAAATAATCATGTTGTACACCTGAACCCAACAGCAAATTATAACTGATAAGATATACTGATAAGATATATTAGAATTTAGCTTTTAATTAAAACTATTAAATGAGCCCTTTTCAAGAACCAGAGCTGCACTGGAATGTAGTCATGCTCTATGGCCTGCAGGCCTGCCTATATGAGTTAAGTTTTAGGAGACGTACTCTGTTTAAGATAAGAAAAGAATGTAGCCTGTTAATCATGAAATAGCTCTGCTTTTTCTTCCTGCACTTAAGATAAGGTTACTGACTTAACAAACCCAAGACGTCTTACAGGCCTCTCTATTGGAAACCACCTAGCCATAGTCAGGGAGATGCGGCCAGGAGCTGAATAAATCAGATCGCTGAAGCTTGCCTAAGAAAATGACCAATCAACACAGCCCATGACCTTGGACCCCTAACTCAAGATCACTCATGACTTTTGCTCTATAAAACCTCTTGTCTGTAAACTTCTGATGAGTTCAGGTTTTTGAGTATTAGCTTTCCCTCCTCCCAGATGGAGACATTAAATAAAATAGCCAATATTTCTCCACTGCAAAGCCTGGTGTCAGTTCTCACTGACTCACTGCTCACATGGGTGGCTACAGGCTTTCTTCTGACTCACTCAGTTTCACATCTTAAACTAATATAATATTAAAGTCAAACTAAAAAGTCATACCTTTTAACCCAGAAATTTTATTTCTGAGACTCTATCTTAAAGAACTAATTTCTAAAATATAGAAAAGAGCTTATGAGCAAAGATGTTCATCACAGTGTTATTACTATCAATAATACAGTGACAATGAGAAATGATTACAAAATTATGGTACATTGACCTACTAGAAAATAATGTAGGCATTTTCAATGTGTGCTGTCTAATTGTAATGAAGTGAAAATTAATGTTATAAAATTTAAAGTAAAAATATATAAAAATATACATAGTTTAATTAAAACTATGCATGGAAAAAAAAGTGGAAGAAAACACACCAAAATATTAATAGTGGTTGTCTTTAGTTAGTTAGATTATGGTGACTTTTTTCCTTCTTATAATTTCCAAATTGTTCATAATTCTATAATGGGGTTGGAAAGCTTATTAAAAGGCAAACTTCCTTGAGAGAGGTAAAGTTTTACTGCATTAAAAAACTTTTCTTGATTTAGTTGTAAACTACTACTTTTAATATCAGTACCCGGGAAACATACCATTTTCTGGAAGGGCACTTGGAGCAAGGAATATGTAGAATATCAGCAAAACCAGCTAAAGAAAAACTTGGCCTGCTTAGAAACATATACTAGTTCCCTGTGATTACCAGATAAGGAGCAGATTTCACTGCCTGATACTCAAAATTCTTCATAACTTGTCATGGTGTGTCCAAACAGTATATGTGCACTTCTCAGCTGAATCTCTTTTCTCACTTTCTCTTTGACTATCGAAATCCTTCCCATTTCTCAGATCTTTAATTCACTTCCACCCATGAAGACTTTCCTGAACCTCTAAGGATCCCGGACGCTACTATTTATCCTTCTTCTTAAGGTATTGATATAGTACTTAAAAGTTTGCGGACCACCTTTTTCTGGTATCAAGGCAATTCTAATCATTTTGTTAATTACTAATGTGTAAGTAAATATCTCCCCAGCTAGACTTTAAGTTCCTTTAAGTCAAGAATTTAGATGAGCCCTGACCAGTGTGGCTCAGTTGGCTGGGCGTTGCTCTGCAAAGCGAGAGGTTGCCGGTTCAATTACTGGACAGAGTACATGCCTGGGTTGTGGGATCAGTCCCTTGGTTGGAACATGTGTGAGAGGCAGCTGGTCGATGGTACTCTCTTACATGGATGTTTCTTTCTCCTTTCCTTCCCCTCTCTCTAAAAATAAATAAGTAAAATCATTTTTTTTAAAAGAAAATGTAAATGGTCTGCAGACAGTAGTCATTTGACAAACATATACAGAGAGAGCAGTTCTAAAGCCAAGTTAGTATTAAATTCACACTCTCAGTAATGATATCTAAATAAAATGTGTTCCTTCTGTATTAAAATATCCCGCTGACCTTCCTTCACTAGGACATGCATTTTCCTTTTTAAAAAAATAGCAGCGGTGTTGTATTGTTGCTTATTCATTCATGCCCATTTTGCTGTCCCTCCTGCGATTAACCAGAGTGGACTACAGGATGTTTCACACCAAGGTTCAGGATATAGTCTACAGCCATATAAAGAACAAAAAGAAATGACCTCTTAGAAATCAAACTTAACACTCATCACAAGACCCTACTTCTCTTACAGTCTTATCTAGACAACATATGTAAATTTGTATCTCCATTCTATGGCCTTATTTTGGCACTGAGCTTTAGTCTATCAATATCTCCATTAATTTAAAAACAGAATTCTCCTATGCAAAAGGTTCAGTACTTTTTAAAATCGATGAGCTAAGATGATTATGTTCCTGTGTGCTACCAAATACTATTCCAACACTTAAGAGATAATGGGCATTTGTATTACAGCAACCTGCCTCCTGAGACATCAGCAAGAGTTGCAAACGGTAAGAGAAAGTACATAAAGTATAAATGAAAGAAAGTCAAATGACCAAGCAACTGACAAAGAAGAACCTAGCCTCCACTATTTTTGCAGAAGGAGCACACAAGGTCCATATAACTGTTGTCTCTGAGGGCAGGAAAATAAAAACAAATCAATTCAGTTTTCCAATACATAGAACTACACTTTGCTACAACTTTTTGTAAGAGTCGGTGGCCGTCCAGATTAGCTGTATGTATTTCCGTATTTCTGTTCTTTAGTCTGCAAAATGGAATTATCATCTCCTATGCCAAATCACAGAATTGTAATTAATCGAATAACATTATCAGTCTGTGTTTATCTGTCACCTTATAATGGAGTAACACACTCCACAAAAACAGTTGAGTCACACACTCCATGAACTAAATAACTGTTCTTACTGCAAATGTTCTCCATAAGTTTAAAAAAGAATACGATATCCAGATTTTACTTTCTTGAATGATTTCTCCAACACTTGAGCATCCACCATATACCATTGCCAAAAGTGTTGACCTTCTCCTGTTATGACCTAGCTCTCCTATGCAGTCTTGTCCAGATATTATCTTTTTGCATATCCTTTCTAAGACAACCGGGGTTTTCCGCCACATAATTCAAAGCATGCTCTACTTTTACTAAAAGAACAATAATTCCACATACAGGGTGTACAGGTTGTTGCTGCTGTTGAGGCTACTCCTCTGGAAATTAACTCTGTTTAATAGACCATTTAGTATATGTACATTTGGCTAAACAACTTCTTAATACAGTGAAATGTCCATGGACTTTAGAGTCATAAAGACTTGTACTTAAATTCCTGTTCTGTGACCTTGAGCACATAATTTAACTGTTCTGCTCCAAACTTTCCACATTTGGTTGGGAGCTGTTGTGATGATTTAATAAAATTTAATATACATATATGTCTAGGCTGTGAAATTATTATTTCTTACCTTAAATCTTTTCCTCTCAAGCCAGGGCCAATCAACCCCACGCTGAATACAACACAACTTTGATAGAGCATCTTTCTCACACGTTGGCGGGAGTATGCCACACGACGTAAACTTAAGTGGATGACGACATGAATTAGACGTCTTACGGGGCAAGAAGTAGTGAAAGCGGCATCCACAATAGACCTAGACTTCCCTCGCATGTGAAGCCATGAATCTGACACACTTTTTAAGGCTACACCGCAAACGCACGGAGGTTTGTACCAGGATGTGGGAAAAGGATGGAATTTCAGAACAAGCCAGCAGGGATCCTCCCGGTTCACCCCACCCGACCCCGCCCGCCCGGGTCTTTCAACTTGAGCCTGGAAACTAAGGTGAGATAGAGCCCAGCAACTGACCTCGTCCCCCACGGTCTCTCATTCTGCCCAAACCTCTAGGGCAAGAATGGTGCTGAATCATTAGCACCAACAGCAGCAGCTCCCTGTTGCCCTGCTCCGCGAGGGGCAGTATCCCCAGAGCAGCGATCATTCCGTAGGGGGGCCGAGAGCTCCAAGGCGTGGGGACGTGACAGCGGTCGGGGAGGCTCAGGGCAGCAGGTACTCACCCGAGCAAGGGCAAGCCCAGACCCGGGGCTCGCCTCCCCGCAGCAGGCGATCGCTCTGCGGCTCCCCGGTTTCCCGCCGGCGTCCGTCCAGGGCTGCAGTCCGAGCTGGTGGTCCGGCGCTTCCCTCCGCCCGCCCACCGCCCGCGGCAGCCCCGGCTCGGGCTCCGGCGCTCGACCCCCGGCGCTCGACCCCGAGCAGCTGGAGCAGCTTTTGCTGCCGAAGCGGGTGGCGGCTGCCGACGGGCCAGACCATTCGCGGGCTGCAACCGGGGGTGCGCGACGTGCGGAGCGGAACTGGCGCCCAGGGCGAGTTGGGGTGGCGACACTTGGGAGCAACCAAGGATCGGGGGAAGCCTAAGCACTCCCTGCCCCCGCAATGCTGGGGGCCAAGGCGACCCACAAAGCAGCCGCTGTTTTCCCTGGCTGTTTCCTGAAGGCAGCCGTTGGGCTTTTCCGGGCACCCCCTCCCGGTTTGCCTTGGTCCCGCTCGGGGCTCCTTCAGAACGCCGCAAACAGAGGACCTAGCAACCGGAGCGCCTGGGCGGTGTCCCCTGGGCGGTGTCCCCTCCTGAGAAGATGCGAGGGGCCCTGGCCTGAGCCTGCCTTCGTGTCACCTCCTGTTCCACCGCGGGGCCCTGTGGCGCCAGTTCATAATGCACGTCTTACCACGAAACAGAGCGGGGCATCCTGAGTCCTTGAAGGGGCTCCCCAGGTCTTTTATCCTAGCATCTCTGTGGAGCAAAGCATAAATGGGTACCCCAGCCAGCTCGAAAGTTAGAAAATAAAATCAAGCGGGGCTCTATCCTTTGTAAACAGATACCGGGAAATGAGGGACAGTTTTGAATCCCAGGGTTACTGCTCCGAAAACGTGGAAGCCCAGGAGTTTGGAAAATGTGGATTTAGCATACAGGTCTATAAAAATTAAAGACAATATAAAATATCTGGGGTTCATTGTTCACCATTTTAGAATTAGTGCCCTGAGATCTGGGACAGAATCGTGCCCTTATATGAAATGAACTTTATAGAACTGGAGGAAAGTCCCCACTTCGGTGGTCCCTGCCCCAGGCTCTACGGAATCATTTCACACCGTGATAGAGATGGAGACAAACGTAGAGTTCCATTGTAGACTAGGGGGAACACGAGGGAGACAGAGAAACAGAGTTGGTAACTACCTATAAGATACAATTTAAGGGAGCAAAAGGAAGACCCTCTAAATGCCTCCCAAACAACAGGAAATTTCATGTTTAAAAGCCATTTTCTCTGGATAAAGATATTGTCCTCTTTTGAATAAATTAACATAATTTTAACATTAAACCAAGCCCCTAGTATGGACCAACCACTGCACTGAGAGTATTTCCAGTTTGATTGCTTTATTTATTCTTCTAAAAACTCCTGTGAAATGGGTAATATTGTTGCTGTTTTTTATAGAGAGAAACTGGGCTAAGGGAGTTTGCTGTGTTAGGTTTACATCTCAGATTGTGAGTGGCAGAGCAGGCACTGCAACCGGGAATTTCTGAATAGTGCCCGTCCACCAGAAGACCTCTGGGAAATGTACACAAAACCTTACCATGATTGGCACTTGAGTGTGTATTTTTCCTTAGTGAAAACTAGGTTGCACGGTGCGGAAAGGGACCCTTAATTATCTAAGGTGGACATCACCATTAGGTTAGAAATAGGAACTGGTAGGAAGAGACTGGCCTGGCCTAGAAATGCTAATGTGAATAATGCAGTGCTAGGGTCACATGAGGGTGAGGAGGAATTCCTCACCGCATTTTGTTAATCATGTTCACTGTCATTTACACTATATTGCACTTTACACTTAATCTATTATTACTATATTATATATTACACTTTATTATTCTTCCAATCCCAGAGTATTTAAATGGACCTAATATCATATGCCTTATCATATTTAGAGAAGTAGCAGAGCTTTAACAACTCTCACATCACATTAAGAAACTTTTAGAAAAATAAGGAATAAATTAAATTGTTACCCTATATTGTGCCATTGTTATTATGTTAACTTTTATTATAAATGTTCACACTTCAGTATCAGCGCAACAGAAATCCCCAGAGCTCCATGTTGCTGAGGAGCTGGGACACTAAATCCCCAGGGAACCAGGCAGCTGTAACTGAGGGTTAGGATGACATCAGCCTTGGAAATGTGTGATTCTTGTCCTGGCCTGTGTGGCTCAGTTGGTTGGGTGTCATCCTGCAAACCAAGGGGTCATGGGTTCCATTCCAGGTCAGGACACATGTCTGGGTTGCAGGTTCAATCCCTGGTGCAGGTGCCTGCAGGAGACAACCAGTCAGTGTTTCTCTCTCACACTGATGTTTCTCTCCCTCTTTTCCTCCCACCCTCCCCCTCTCTCTACAATCAATAAAAGAAAAATAATTGTTTTATAAGAAAAATGTGCAATTGATTCTTTCTTTCATGCACAGTTGTTTCATTTCAAAGGAGACAACAAAAGAACTGAACTGAGTTAGGTAGATGACATGCCTTTTGAATTAGTATTCCCTGTCTGGTTGACAGGGGTATAAGAAAAAAAGACAAGGTCTTCGGTGGTTCACCTGAGACCAAGCTGGGGTTTAGAACCTTATCAGTTATAAACCTGGTGACATCTCCAACAATCTTTTTGTATAAGTTGGCATTACTGGAGTGTATGTTTCTGAATGAAAGACAGAAATTTTACGCCAGTAGCTTTGAAAAACTGTCAAAAGCAAAAAAGGAATAGTGTGGTATCTGCATTTTCTGATCTTTCATCAGAAAATCTTTCATCCAATGCTTTCAAGCTCCTTGAAGAAGAAAATTAGGTCCAGAACCTGAGGAATTATCTTTACAAATGACTTTGTAGGATTTAGGGTCTAAGAAGTACTGCTTTGGTCCCTGGTGGCAAAGTACAGCACAGAGGGCCATTCTCCCACGCAGTCTGCCATAGACTTCTCTGTGCAGCCCTGCCACCAGTACAGAAAGGCTCTGTCCCATGAAGGCATATTCACATAAAGGACACTGGTGACCAACACAGGGTTGAGATAACTTGACTAGGAAGGAGCATACAGCCATGCAGCATGCATAGGATTGTTCCTGAACACCTGGGAGACACACTGAGGAGTTCCTGTCATAATGAGGGAGGCCGGGGCCGAGGGGGGTGATTGTTTAACTGAAGAGGATTCTTTTTTTTTTTTAATTTTATTTTAATTTATTTTTTCAAATACATTTGTCTCTGCCTCCCCCCACCACCACTTTCCCTTGCCCCCTCCCTCCTTCCCTCCCTCAGCTCTTCCCCTTTGGTTTTGTCCGTGAGTCCTTGCTATATGTTCCTGAAGAGGATTCTTAAACATTATTTAAGCAGTGATATTAAGAGTCTAATTAGGACAGCATCAAATTTATGTATTAATTTTTGGAAAATTGACATGTTTACAACAGTAAGTCATTCTATCCAAGATGGTAATAGACTTTTCCATTTGTCTGTACTTTGTCTTGCATTTCCCAAGGATATTTTTATAGTTTTGTTCATGTATGTTCTGCACCTTTCTTATAAATTCATACCAAATTATTTTCTAGTATTTGTCTTCCTCATGGAATAGTTTTTCTACTTCCTTTTCTAGGTGTTTTTGCCTGAATAGAGAAAGATTGATTATTTCTGTAGTTTATTGTGTATTCATCCAACACACCAAATTCTCTTATTTGTTTTTTCACAAGTCTCTTAAGTTTTCTTATACGTGTGTGGGGGCGGGCGCGCGCGCGCGCACGCACACAGGCATAGCACCAGCATCAGGAACTTTCTCTTTTTCCATTGTTTATATTAGTAATTTTATTTACATTTGCTAGAATCACCATTGCAAGTAATTACAGTGATGACTGTCTGATTCCTGGATTTTAGTGAAAGATTTAACTTTTGTCATTTAAGAAAATGTTTGTTAGTGGGCTTTTCTTTATTTTAAAAGTAATTGCCTGCTGCTCCTATTTTGCGTCGAGCTTTCCTTGACATTGGTTGCTTGACCTTTTATGCCTTTTCACTACCCACTGATAATGGTTGGGTTATTTCCCATTTAATTTTTAATGTAATCAATATGTAGATTGATTTCCTCCACTGGAACCGCCCTTTCATTTCTATAATATAGCCTGTTTTGTCACAGAGTATTGCTCTTATGATGCATTTCTCCATTACATCCTCTAATATATTATGTGAACATTTGGCATTTATAGTCATAGGTGAAATGGGCCTGCACTTTTGTTGTCATTGAATTCCTTCTTTGACTTTGGTATTGGAGGTATTCTCTCTTCATAAAATTAACTCGAGAAATTTCTTTCTTCTCTGAAGACCCACAACAGATTAAATGATATTGGAATTATCTATTGTTTAATGGTTAGATTAAAAATTCAACTGTGAATCCATCTGTCTGCTGTCTTTTTCAATAGGAAATCATTTATCACTTCTCCAATCTCTTCTATAATAATTGGTCTATTCAATTTTTTACTAATTCTGGGCCACCTGTGATCATGTGTATTTTGCTAGGGAAGTATTTAATTCTTCTATGTTTTATTAGTTTAATGTACTCTCTAGAGCTGCCTTTAGTATTTACTTAGAATTATTTTAATATCTTTCCTTCTTTCACATTGTTAATCTTGTCTAATTTCAATTTCAATTTCTTTTCCTAATCAGACTTACATCATATTTACCTATATTTATTGGTACTTTTAAAGAATTAGTCTTTGAATTTATTACTATTTTCTGGTTTTTTATCTATTTTAGTAATTTCAGCTTTCATCAGTACTAATTCCCTCTTCAACGTTTCTTTGTTTTGTTTTGTTGTTGTTTCTACTGGTTTAAGACAAGTACTTAATTCCTTTATTTTCACCTTTCTGCTTCCATAATTAAGTGCAACACATTTTCCTGTGAGTTGTTTTACTGGTCCCCAATGCTTCAGTATGCAGTGTTGGTTTTCCCAGTACTTCTAGGTGCTTCCATCTTTCCCCTTGCTGTGGTGGGAATGCTTCTTGTGTCCCTCCGACTCAAATTCATCTGTTGAAACCCTAAACCCCAGAGATGATGGTATTAGGATGTGGAGGTTTTGGGAGGTACTTAGGTTGTGAGGCAAAACCCTCATGACTGGGATGAATGAGGGTTTTAATTAAAAAGGCTCCAGGAAGGTCCCTACCTCCTTCCTCCAGGCAAGGACACAAAGGGAAGGGGCCTGTTATGAACCAGGAAGGGGACACTTACCAGAGGTGACCGTACAGGGATCTGGGACTTCCAGCCTCCAGAACCATGAGAAATAAATATCTGTTGTTTCTGTGATATTTTGTTACAACAGCCTTAAA